TTACTCCTTTGTCAAAGATCAAGTGGTCAAATATTTGGGGGTCTGTGACAGAATATTTGACTCTGTTGTATTTCAGCAGTTCTGTTTTAAGCCAAGTACCATGCTGTCTTCATTACTACTCCTTTGTAGTACAGTTTGAAGTTGGGTAGGGTGATGACACCCATCTTCTTTTTCCCAAGGATTGTTTTAGCTATTCATGGGGGTTTATTGTTCCATATGAATTTCAGGAGTGTTTTGTCTATTTCTTTGAAAAATGTCATAGGTACCCGATAGGGACCACATTGAATTTGTATAGTTCTTTGGGCAGTATTGCCATTTTGATAATGTTAATCCTCCCTATCCATGAGCAGGGGATGTGGCTCCATTTCCTAGTGTCCGATTTTATTTCTTGAAATGGTGTTTTGTAGTTTTCCTTGTACAGGTCCTTCATCACTTTGGTTAAGCTGATTCTGAGGTACTTGATTTTCTGAGGTATTATTGTGAATGGGATTTTTTTTAATGTCTCTTTCTTCTCTTTCATTATTTGTATATAAGAAAGCCATGGACTTTTGGTTGTTGATTTTGTAGCCTGCCACTTTACTAAACCGACCTTTTGTTTCTAGGAGCTTTTCTGTAGAATCTTTAGGGTTTTCTAAGTATAGTATCATATCATCTGCAAATAGTGATAGTTTGACCTCTTCCTTTCCTATCTGTATTCCCTTGATCCCTTTCTCTTGCCTAACTACAATGGCCAGGACTTCCAGTACTATCTTGAATAGGAGTGGTGAAAGTGGGCAACCTTATCTTGTGTCCGATCTTGGAAGGATTTTAGTTTTTCCCCACTGAAAATTATACTTGCCGTGGGCTTGTGGTAGATGGCTTTGACTATATTGAGGACAGTTTCTTTGATGCCTATTTTGCTGAGAGTTTTTATCATAAACAGGTACTGGTTCTTGTCAAATGCTTTCTCTGCGTCTATTGATATGATCATATGCTTTTTATCTTTTCTTTTGTTGATATGATGGATTATGTTGATCGATTTCCGAACATTAAAACATCCATGCAACCCTGGGATGAATTCTACTTGGTCATGGTTTATGATATTTTTGATGAGTCGTTGAATTCTATTTGCTAATAGTTTGTTGAGGATCTTTGCATCTGTGTTCATCAGGGATATCGGCCTGTAATTCTCTCTCTTTGTGGTATCTCTGTCTGCTTTTGGTATCATGGTGATATTTGCTTCATAGAAACTGTTCAGAAGTGTTTTTGATATTTCAATTTCATGGAAAAGCTTAAAGAGGATTGGGAGTAAGTCGTCTTTGAAGATTTGGAAGAATTCACTAGTGAACCCCTCTGGGCCAGGACTTTTGTGCCTGGGGATACTTCTTATTACCTGTTCAATTTCCTTGATGGTGATAAGTCTGTTCAGATATTCCAGGTCTTCTTGGTTCAGCCTTGGGAGGCTATAGGAATCTAGGAATTTATCCATTTCCCAAGGTTTTCGTGTTCTGTGGCATAAAGTTTCTCAAAGCACTCCCTGAGGATCCTTTGAATTTCTGTAGTTTCTGTTGTAATGACCCCCTTTTCATTTCTGATTTGGTTTATTAGGGTTTTCTCTCTTCCTTTCTTTGCGAGTTTCTCTAGAGGCTTATCGATCTCGTTAATCTCTGCTCTGAATTTTATTATTTCCTTCTTCCTGTTCAGGATTGGGCTAACAAACTATTAGCAAATAGAATCCAACATCTTATCAAGAAGATCATACACCATGACCAAGTAGGACTCATCCCAGGGATGCAAGGATGGTTTAACATGCGGAAATAGATCAACATAATTTATCATATCAACAAAAGAAAAGATAAATACCATATGATCATATCAATAGATGCAGAGAAAGTATTTGACAAGATACAGCACCCCTTTATGATGAAAACTCTCAGCAAAATAGACATTTTGATTGGGCTCCTTTTGTTGGTCATTCTCCAAGCTCTTAAGCTGTGAGGTTAGGTTACTTATGTGGGCTCACTCCTCCTTCTTGAGTAATGCTTGTAGAACTATAAACTTTCCTCTTAACACAGCTTTTGCTGTGTCCCATAAGGTTTGGTAATGTGTGTCCTCATTTTTGTTCATTTCCAGGAATCTTTTGATTTCCTCTTTGATTTCCTTTCTAAGTCACTTGTTGTCCAATTGTGAGCTGTTTAATTTCCAGGTGTTTGATTTAGTTTTCTATTTGTGTGTGTGATTTACTTCTAATTTCAGCGTATTGTGATCTGAGAAGATTGTTGAATACAATCTCTATCTTTTTTTTTTTTTTGCTTTTTTGGGTCACACCCGGTGATGCACAGGGGTTATTTCTGGCTCATGCACTTAGGAATTACTCCTGGCGGTGCTCAGGGGACCATATGGGATGCTGGGAATCGAACCCGGGTCGGCTGCAGTGAAAGGCATACGCCCTACCCGCTGTGCTATCACTCCAGCCCCCAATCTCTATCTTCTTAATTTTATGGAGCTATGTTTTGTGGCTCAGCATGTGGTCTATCTTGTAGAATGTTCCATGCACACTTGAGAAGAATGTGTATTCAGTCTTTGGGGATGAAGTGTCCTGTATATATCTCCTAAGTCCCTTTCTTCCATGTTTTCCCTCAGATGAAGTATGTCCTTGCTAAGCTTGAGTCTGGTTATCTATCAAGAGGTGATAAAGCGGAGTTGAAGTCTCTCACTAGTATTGTGCTGCTATTGATGTCTTTCTCCAAGTCTATGAGTAGTTGATTTAAGTACTGTGCTTGTCCCTCAGATAATAAGAAATTCTTAATATACCTATTGGTCATCTGTATATCTTCTTTAATGAACTGTCAGTTCATCTCTTCTCATTTTTTGATGGAAATATTTATATGTTCTTTGCTAAGTTTTAGTAGCACTTTAAATATTTTTGATTTAAAATCCCCCATATAGTCAAACAATCCTAAGAAAGAAGAGATGAAAGTGTTTTCTTTATCCAACTTTAAATTATACCACAAAGCTATAGTAATTAAGATCCTGTGGTAGTGAATAAGGGCAGATTCTCAGATTATTGTAATAGACTTGAGAGCCCAGAGACAGATGCTGAGGTATGTCATCAACTAGTCCTCAATATAGATGCTAGGAGTATGAAATGGAGAAAGATGTCCTCTCGACAAATGATGTTAATAAAAGTGGTCAGTTACATGTAAAAAACATGAACTCAGACCCATATCTTATACCTTAAACAAGTCAATTCAAAATGAATTAAAGACCTCAATATAAGATTTCAGTTCATCAATTATATAGAAAAATCATAGAAGAATCCTTTTTGAAGTTGAACTTTGCATCATCTCCAGTGACTCAATGCCACTGACCAAGCAAACAAAAGTAAAAATAAACAACTGGGGTTATATAAAATTAAGTTCTGGACCACAAAGAAATAGTGACTAGAATAAAATGACTCTTTGTAGACTGGGAGGAAATATTTGCCCATAAATGAGCAATATTTTAACTTAAGATTTAATAAATCTTTTAATAACGTTTTGGTGAGAATTTTCTAAGTTTATACTGTAACAGACTATTCTGAGGGCTGCCAGGGGATGGCCCCGATGGCTCTTCCCCTGGCTGCCCAGGTTCTGGGCGACCCAGGCCCTGAGGCAGTTGGCAGAGAAAGCAAGGACCAAGCTGGTTAATTGATCAGCTGCCGTTTATTCCTTTCTCATCCCAGTTCGCTCCTGTCTCTCTCTCTCTCTCCTTCTCTCCCAGGCCCCAATCTGGAATCCCTCTCTCCTGGCTCTGGATCTTGATCTTGATCTTCACGCCCCAGACCACTCTTACAGTCTCGTTAAATCCCCAAACCATGAGAGGCTGGGCTTACACATAGGTGTGGTCACAATCAATAGGGATAAATTCTTTCCCTCAGGGTATGCTGCCTCTAGGACAGATTCTCTTTCAGCAGGATGACCCACCCAAGGGCGGAATCCCATGGGTGTGTTTCTCCTCTCCTTGTTCAACAAACATATAAGCATTCCTATATTAATCATTTTGTATGGACACAGTAAGAGATGCATTAAACTTATAGAATTGCTCTTCTGGGCTCATCTCAATCTCAGACTACAGTGCTCATGCCAGATTAGTCTTTCCTATCCCTAGCAGGGTCCTAGTCTTGTTGTTGCTTTTGGATTATGACAGATTTGTCCATGATCAAACTCTTAACTTAGTTAAGAATTGTGGCACTTTGACCAGGCCCATCTCGATGCCAGGGTAGCATATACCTCTTGCCCTGGTTCCATCCAAAGCCTCGTCGGGACCCTGCTTTGGGCGGCTCTAGGAAATGAGGGCACTGATGCTTAGATTGAGAAAGAAGATGCCCGGGAATGAATAATATTCAAAGCTAATTAAATCCCAAGTTACAAAAGCACAATATTAATTGTCTTCTTGTGTCTATACAAAAGGATATTGCCTTAAAGTAAACTATTCAAAAGACATACAGAAAGGAGAAAGGCAATATTAACTTATAATACAAGTTCAGTGTCCTAGAAAGATCTAACCTTACAAATTAACAGAATGGGTTTAGGGGAAAAAGCTGATTAACAGGTTGGGGAAGAGAACATAGAGAAGAGGTTACAGACAAACAAAAGAATGGGAGCACTTTGATGGGTGTGACCCGATAAACCTAAGCTCCTTGTGGGAAGAGAGAAAGGACAAAGCAATTGTACCCCACAGTTTACTACATGAAAGAAAGCAATATTTGTGAAGTTTTGTTCATTCTCTAAAGTACGATTCCAATTCTAATCCCTGTTCCCTTCCCTATGAAACTGCTGGACCAGTAATTCAAATAGTAATTTCATCATTTTGAAATCTCTTATAAATCCTAAATCCTTTTTTTTATTCTGTAGTGAAAACATTGAATTTTTTTTGATGTTCTATAGGAAGTGCTCCAACTCTTCCAACTCTTCCTGTGATTGTAGCACCTTTATCACTTTAATGTCTATGTTCCTATTTTGTGTTTCTGCTTGTTTCAGATTGACTTCTGAATAGATTAATTTAATGCTAAGGCAGTCAATGTGCCCATTTTCTTTTACCTGGGGACGTTTTTGTTCTTTTTTTTTCTGCTTGTTTTATTTATTCTGTGTACTCTGTCTTTCTGCTGAAGTAGTAGTGAAACTTATGTAGGTCTCTCTGGCTTTTTGCCTAGAATTGAGCAATTCTCAGATTGAATTTACTTGAAAAAAATCCCTTATCTGCACAGAAGTTATTGACTTGCTACTGCACTTCCTATGATATATGATCAAAAAGTGCCTGTAGCTGCATCAGCCTGGGGCTTTGCTTTTTAACCATGTCATGGCTTGACAGCACATGAGGATTTTATATTCATGAAAGCCAAACTTCATACTCAATAGAGTTAAGAAGGAATCAGTGTTTGATGAAATATGATTACTTCAAGCCTTTGCTTACTGAAGACTGTTAATTCACTCAAAAAATATTGAGTATCAGTCACTAAATCCCAGAGACACAAAGACCAATAACAAAGAAATCACTGGCTCATAAAGGCATAGCAAAGAAATAAACCAATTAAAATGCAGGATAAGTAATATAGCTGAGACCATTCTAGGGCTTGTAGCATTTAAGTCAGATGTACCGTTCTCTAAAGAGTCTGTTTTCTTTGTTTATACCCATCTTAGATATTTTTAATTTTTTAAATTCAGTTGTAGTTTAGGTAACATGGTATAATAGTATTAAATTTTATGATTTTTTCTTATTTGTTTGTGGAAAGGATTGAGCACAACCTGTAGTGCTTGGGAGCTACTCCTAGCTCTGTGCACAGGAGTTGCTCCTGTGGGTGATAAGGGAACTAGGCAGTCCAGGAAACAATTCCTGCGAGCCACAGGATGGTAAAATTTCTTTTCTATAGAACCTCATTATCTAATGCTTCCATTGCATGATTTTATTTCCATTTCTACCTTAAAAAAAACAAAATACACCCCCCAAAACCTATGCATTTTCTAGAGAATGCATTATCTTATGATTTTTAAGTAAGAATTTGAGACCAAAGAACATATTTGCAAATAATAATCCATACAAGCACCTTTTTCACTCAAAAAGTGACAGGACATAATTGAGGAAATAGGGCTCCTGGAGAGACAGTGCTTTAATTCCAACTCTGATCATTTCCATCTCAAAGGATTTGTAAAAGTTATTAATATCTCAGTGCTTTAGTGACATTATTCACATATTTATTAATGAAGTCTACTTCTTAGAATTGTTGAAAATATTAAATGAAGTCATTGTGAGTAATGTCTAAAGTCTAGTAAGACCTTAATAAATGATAGTTCCTACCGCTGGTGCTACTCCCACTATTCCACTGCTGTGTTGGGTTCTAGAAGATTATGTAACCCTAGTGTCTAATACAAGTGCTTAGTACACGATGGGTAGTTCTCAATGCCGCTGCCTTTAATACATACTAAAGTCATACCAATACACAGGCAAAATTATTCTAAGATATGGTTTGACTGCACAAGTATTAGTTCTTTACAGTCAGTAACAGTCTGAATAGGCCAATGTTTGTGATTTGATTGGTTGGTGTCTTTGCTAATTTACTTGTGAATTATTTTGAAAAATACATGTCTATAAGTATTATGGGACCATGCTTTTGTTTACTTAAAGGTAGTTTAGGCAACCACCTGTAATAACGACTCTAGCTTTGTCAACCAAATGTGCAACAGAAAAAATTCCTACTTAAAGGATTCTTAGACTATCATAATCTTTAAAATTATTCACATTACTTAGCAAATAGTCCAGTTAAAAACTAACCTTGTATAGGAATTCCCTATATATACTTAGACAGGCAACAAGAAATCATGAAAGTATGCTGATGTTAGATTTAATCAACTACCAGTCATGGAATTCATTTTCTTATCACTCTGCTTCAGGAATTTCTATTTTCCTCTAATTCTGACAGGTCAGACATTTCCTGCAACTCATTTAATTGACTTTAATTTATGATTCATATTCAATAATCATGACTCCAAATTAATAGATGCATTGAAAAGAATCACAGCATAGCAAGTGGGCATTTAAGAACATCTTAGTACTACTTGTCAGGTCTCATGGCACTTCCCACTGAAATCTCAACTCTGATACAACTGAAAGAGGTGGGCCATTGAAAAATCTTATTAAACATCCGGACATTATGAAACATAAAGTCTCTGAGACAGATGTAATCATAATTTGCACTAACTTTGCTCTTTTAAGGAAGGTCATGTATGCCAATGGTGCAAGTACGAATACATACAAATTTTAAAACTACCTCGACCTCATGTAGCAGGGAACTGGTCCCTGGCAATAGCATCTTCTCTGACTCTTATTGTAGCATTGCTCTGACAAAGAAAGGATTGTTAAAATCCAAACAGGGAGCATGTGCTGCTTGAGAGAACAGTAACAGGGATTAAGGGGCATGAAATGCAAGTGTGCACTTGTAATGAAATTGCCCTTACTTACTGCCTGGTTAGTACTCATGGTGATTGCCATGGTATGTCTCTGTGATCAATCTCAGAATAATGAAAAATAGCAACAAGCCTTAACGTTTCAGGTAGCTTATATCAGGAGTGGATAGAAGTATTTTCAAGGCTGAGGTCGTAATGATAGAATTCCTGATGCAGAGAATAGCAATTGATGCTTATTCATGAATAAAGAATGGGTTCTTCGGGTGAAAGATAGATTAGCTGGAGGAGTTCCTACACATAGGTATCAGCAATTGAATGTCTCTGCCCAAATGTCAATGTGAACTGTGCTTCTAAACAGTCCATGTTTTGGAGAGATTGTATCATTTGGTCGCAGGAGAGGCATGGGGAGTAGTATAGCTATAATGTAGGTGAGAGTCAGGATAGAGAAAACATTTTCCAGAATTGAATTTGACTGCACACACACACACACACACACACACGCACGCACGCACGCACGCACACACACACACACATGCATTCTCGTGCATGTCTTCAATTACCTCATGAAATGGATCCTACTTTTAGGTATTTACTCTAAGATAATACTAACTTATGGTGCAAAGGTTTAATTATAAAGCTACTTAATACTGTACTTTCTAACTTAAAGAGAAAAAGTACAGATTACCTATATGAATAACAATAAAAATTAGTTACATAAATCATAACAAGTCATGTAATACAATAGCATGTAGGAAAATAGATGCTCATAGACATTTATGGGCAGGAACCATTTTATAAAATATTAAACACATTTATTTATACGGAGCGGATGGTAAGAATGCATGTAAAATATGAATAGAAATGTATTGGTTGATAGGTGTGTGTTTTCAAGAGTCAGGCAGCGCTCTATCTCGTTCATTGCCTGTGTTCAGTGGTCTCGCGCAGCTCCCCCCCCCCGGGGAAGTCAATGGTGATGGGCAGGCGAAGGATGAAACAAGGGCCAGGCTGGTCCATATCAACAGTAGTTTATTCCAATCTTCACCCCCCTTTTGCTTCTTTCTCTCAAGCCTGGGCCCCTCTCACTTCTGACTCTGCCCTCTGTAGCCTGAGCCCGCTCCGACCTTACAGTCTTAGTTTATATAGCAATCACATAGGAAGGTGACACAGAGGTAGGTTGAACATTAACAAATCAACAAAGAGAGGTAAGACCACTCCTCCAGGAGATCAACTCAAGGATAAAATCTCATCTAAAGAGATGACTCCAGATTACTAGGAGATTCGCTCAAGGGTGGGATCCCAACAAGGGCGTGTTCTTTCCTCAGCTAGTAATCTACTTAAATAGTTGTAGTAAATCTACTTCTAATATTTCTAGCAATGTCATTCTGTATGAGCACAGTAAGAGATATAAACTTACAGTTTGGTTCTTCCTGAGGACATCTCACTATATATTCTGTAGTCCTTCAGGCCAGGTTAGTCTTCCTAGCCCCAGCAGGGTCCGAGTCTCGTCATTACTTACTTTTGGATCATGACAGCATTTGTTCATGATCATGCCCTCAACTTATAGTTTAGTATTGTGGCACATTCCAATGCCAGGGTAGCTCACAGCTTGCACTGGGTCTATTCAGTCCCTTGTCAGGACGCTGCTTTTCGGGTGCTAGGAACTAAGGGCAACTGAGTCAAGAAAGCATATGCCCAGGAGTAAATATTATTCGGAGTCAATCAACTCCCAAGTTACAAACCATAATATTAACTGTCTTCCTGTGTCCACACAGAAAGGACATGGATTTAAGGTAAACTATTCAAAAGACATAAGGAGAGGAGAAAGGCAATATTAACTTATAATACAAGTTCAGTGTCCTAGAAAAATCTGACCTTACAAATTAACAGAATCTGATTAGGGGAATAAGCTGATTAACTGTTTGGGAAAGAGAGCATAGAGAAGTAGTTACAAATAAACAAAAGAATGAGAGTGACTCAGGAGCACTGGGATGGGTGTGACTCAATAAACCTAAGCTACCTGAGGAAGGACAAAACAGTGTTATCCTACAGATAGGTTTTAGTTAATTGTAGCACAGCGGGTAGGGGTAGGGCGTTTGCCTTGCACGCAGCCAACATGGCCTACCTGAGTTCAATTCCTCTGCCCCTCTCAGAGAGCCCGGCAAGCTACCAAGAGTATCTCACCTGGCAAGTTACCTGTGAGATATTCAATATGCCAAACACACAATCACAAATCACAAATCATCCTGTTAATCGTCGATTGCCTCGAGCAGGCCCCAGTAACGTCTCCTTCATCCTAGCCCTGAGATTATATTCAAGGCTCTTTAGGAGAATAAGACCCATCATTGTTACTGGTATTTGGCATATTGGGTACGACACAGGGAGTTTGCCAGACTCTGCCGTGTGGGCAGGCTACATTCAGTAGCCTGCCAGTTTGTCCAAAGTAGGGATGAGATAATAAGATTTCATAATAGGATGTCACGTGGCCGCGAATGTGGCCGCGCGGTTCCAGGAGCTGGTTTTTATAGTCTCTGAGTCTTGGCCGTTGATGGGATTACACGGTGCCAGTCTCCTGCCCCCGCGCCTGACTGTCCTCAC